TGTTGAAAAAGTACGATTTTTTTCAAAATTCCAACGAATATTACCAAAAAGTATCATGAACAAAAATTTATCAAAGATTTTAAAGGTTCATTCAAATTAGAAGCTGTTTATCACGTCGTATCTCAAACGTGTGCACCGTTCGCTCTAAAAAACACAAAGTGAGTATTCATGCAGACAAATTAAGATTTAGTCAAAAAACCTTTAAATGAGTTTTAATGGGGACAAATTTAGATTTTATCAAACAAATATCTTGAAATACCACTAAAAAGTAATTAGGAAAACTAATTGTTAATAATTTTTAGTCTGTTTCAAATCAGAACCCCTTCTTTGGTTCTTGTCTCAAAAATTTGCATCATTCGTTTTACTGCATACAAAATGAATATTCCTGTTGAAAAAGTAAGATTTTTTCAAAAATCCAAGCAAATAGTACCAAAAAGTTTCATGAATAAAAATTTATCAAAGATTTTTAGGGTTTATTCAAATCAAATGTTTAGTTTTTGTCTCAAAAGTGTGCTCCATTCGCCCCCAAATAAAAACAAAATGAGTTTTAATGGGGACAAATTAAGATTTTATCAAACAAATACCTTGAAATGCAACTAAAAAGTAATAAGGAAAACTAGTTGTTAATAGTTTTTTGGCTGTTTCAAATCAGAACCCCTTCTTTGGTTCTTCTCTCAAAAATTTGCTTCATTCGTTTTACTGCATACAAAATGAATATTCTTGTTGAAAAAGTAAGATTTTTTTTAAATCCAACAAATAGTACCAATAGGCTGTTTCAAATTAGAACTATTACTTCAGTTCTTGTCTCAAAATTTTCTTTCATTCGTTTTACTGAACACAAAATGAATATTCCTGTTGAAAAAGTTCGATTTTTTCAAAATTCCAACGAATAAAACCAAAAAGTATCCTGAACCAAAATTTATCAAAAAATTTTAAGGTTTCTTCAAATCAGAGGCTGTTCATCACTTCGTATCTCAAAAGTGTGCACCGTTCGCTCTAAAAAACACAAAATGAGTGTTCATATAGACAAATTAAGATTTAGTCAAAAAACCTTTAAATAAGTTTTAATGGGGACAAATTAAGATTTTATCAAACAAATACCTTGAAATACTACTAAAAAGTAATAAGGAAAACTAATTGTTAATAATTTTTAGGCTGTTTCAAATCAGAACCCCTTCTTCGGTTCTTGTCTCAAAAATTTGCGTCATTCGTTTTACTGCGTTTTACTGTTCCTTTTCTTGTTGAAAAAGTAAGATTTTTTTTTTGTCAAAAAAACTTTAAATACTACTAATATGTAAAAACTCATAGTTAATTAAGATTTTTAAGCTGTTTCAAATCAGATTCTGTTCTTGTCTCAAAAGTGTGCTTCATTCGTTCTACTTAACACAAAATGAGTTTTCTTGGGGACCAATTAAGATTTTTTCAAAAAACATTTAAATATTACTAAAAAGCATCAAGGAATTAACTAATGAACTAATATTGTCACAGATTTTAAGGCTGTTTCAAATTAGAACTAGTACTTCAGTTCTTGTCTCAAAAATTTCTTTCATTCGTTTTACTGAACACAAAATGAATATTCTTGTTGAAAAAGTAGGATTTTTTTCAAAATTCCAACGAATATTACCAAAAAGT